GGAGGTGCCCAGTGTGGGTGATCTCTCTGGGGTGCACTTCTCCTGGGGAGGTCCCAGCTCTGAGATTCCTGAGGTCAGACCCTGGGGCAGAGACTGCTGGGTAAGAGAGCAGCTAATTGGTTGGCTAGGGTCACAGTGATCCTCCCGACCACCAGGCATGGGTCAGGGGACCCCTTCCTAATGTGCCAGGCCTGGACCAGCATCCTCCCCCCTCACCAGAGGCCGTAAATGTGCCCGAAGTGGAGGGTGAGACGTGGCTCTGGTCCTGGGAACCTGGAGGAGCTCCTGGAAGGCAGTCACAGGTGTGCTCAGCAACGCTGGGTACATCAGCACATGGGTGTGCGGGTTCCATAAGGACGCCTCTCACCAGAGTGAGTCACAGGGCAGAATGTGCAGGATCATAGCTCCAGCGGGAGGCCAGAACTGACCTGGGGCTTCTCCTGAGTGAGAGGTCTGCACTGGTGCTGAGCATCGTCCAGACTGTGGTCCTCAGGGGCCGAGGCTGTTGTTGGCTCAGCGCTGAGCGTGGGGACGTCAGGCAAATGAACCACGTGTCTGTGCTACTGGATGAAGCAGATGGACCTCTTTGTGTCCAAAAATCAGTTCCTAAATTAACTGGACTCAGAGTAAATGTAGGGGACGAGAGGATGGGCTCCGGGAAGGTTATTCACTGAGTGATTTTGGGCTCTCTGCCCAGAAACAGGTTGGGTTCTTCTTTCCATCCAGGTTAGAACCAACATTCGTGCACAGACTTAACTCAGAGGACTTACTCACCTTCTGCCAGCCCTGAGAACACACCCTGGTGTCAGAAGTGCTTTTCCCTTTTTTTGGTTCCTGCCTTTTTTTATTTACTTAATTTTAAAATTAAAATGCATTTATTTGGCTGTCAGGTCTCAGCTGTAGCCTGCAGGATCTTCATACATCATTTGGGACCTTTCATCGCAGTGCTCAGGTTTCTCTCTAGCTGCAGGGCACAGGCTTAGTTGCTCCACGGCACGTGGAATCTGAGTTCCCTGAGCAAGGATCGAACCCGAGTCCCCTGCATTGCAAGGTAGATTCTTAACCACGGACCATCAGAGAACTCCCGTTTTTCCATTTTTACCTAGAACGTTTCAGATGTTTTAAGCTGGAAGGGGTCTTGGAAGTGGCCCTCCCCTTGTGTTTTCCTCAAGCTGATATATAGCATCATTCATGAGCAAGGAAACCTAGCATTCCTCAGGAAAGGACTTTCTGGTTATTAGTTGGGTCATCACAGTAAACGCCAAGATGACTCCTCTCTGGAGAGCTCCAGACCACTGACCGAGAGCCGGGGTCTGGTCAGGTGCAGGGGACCCTGGTCCTGTGTCGGGCAGGGTGGTGCAGTCTGGGCGTGGAGGGAGCTCTGCTTTGAAGCCTCGCTTATCTAAGGAGAGCTCTTTGTGGGCACCCCAGGGTCTGTCCTCTCCCAAAGGGTGTTTCTGTGGCCAAGCTTCAGAAACCTCAGTAAGCCACCTGGCTAACCTAGATAGGGTACAAAACCTGGACGTCTGTCACCCGGACTCGCTGCTGAGTCTGCATCTCAAAGACACTTATGGCTCCTGATGTGAGGTGGTATGGAAACAGCCCACCTTGGGGTGTTTTTGCTGGGGGAAAAAAAGGAAAATAGATAACACTCAACCTGCATCCAAACTACCGTTTGGTGCTAAGTTCCAGTTTACAGGAGATGTTAGGGATGGAGGTCCAGGAGGATGGAAACTAGGGGGCGGGCGGGAGGTGATCCAGCAACTCTGGGGGAGTGACCACACACACTGGGAAGATTCTGCTTTGATGCTGAGTTGAAGAAATCAGCCGTCAGGAGACTTGGGAGAGAACTGGGACGTCGTTGTTGGGTTGTAGGGCCATCGCCACACTGGGGTCAGGAGTGCATACAAAACACTCAGGGGTGAGAACATGGCAGCTGGGATTTGCCTTCAAATACTTGGGCCGGGGACTTCAGCCGTGACTTGTTGTCTAGGACTCTGCACTCCCACTGCAGGGGGCCCGGGCTCCACCCCTTGTCTGAGAACTGGAGCCCCCGTGCTGTAACTGAGAGTTTGCATGCCACGACTGAAAAGATCGTGCAACAACCAAGACCCAGGGCAGCCAAATAAATATTAGAAAAGCAAAAATACATGGGGAAGAACAAACGTGTAGATGAAGCCAGGGCGAGAGGCTGTCCAAGGGACAGGGTCATTGGCCTTTGTTGGACTGTGCTGTTTGCTTTGGGCAGGTTTAAAGAGTTTCTAGACCTTAATTTTTTAAACCTGGACTTTTTTTTCTAAGTACAAACCTTGTAGGCGTGCTTCCAGTGCCACAGCTTCTGTAGGCTCCCTTCAGAAAATGCCTTCCCCACGTGCAGCAGAGTCCCCCCTTTTATTGTGAAATTTTGCATAGAATTAAGTTGGAAGAATTGCACGGTGAGCCCCGTGTAGCCACCATCAGAAGCTTGACTCTCCCATGTGTCAGTCTGCCCCTCTGTCAGTCCATCTGATTTCAGAGTAAAGTACCACCTTGGTGTGTTTCCCCTGCTTCAGGCCAGCTGCCAACCTGGGGTTCCGAGGTCTTCGGGAGCCCCCGGAAACCCCGCAGCCTCTCCTTCGACACCCTCAAAAGTCGGGTCCGGGACCTCTGGGAAGAGCTGGGTGTGGGCAGCTGCGGGCACCTCACAGAGCAGGAGCTGGCCCTGGTCTGCCAGACCATCGGGCTCCAGGGCCTGGCGAAGGAGGTGAGAGGGGATGGGATGGACCGCCCCGAAGGGCTGGGTGTTTGTGGTTGGTACTGGGCCTGGAAAACCCCTTCAACCTCAGCCACTGATTCAATTGTCACTGTCCAACCTAAAATCTTGTGCTGACTCCTGGGGTTTGTGCCGAGGGTCCGTCTCCGGCCACCTTCACACAGGACGCTCCTCTGCCTGGAGCTCTCTTCCCTCTCTGGCCTACTGCCCAGCCCAAGGGTGGTGCCCATGGCCTCTGGCTGTGCCCCCCAGCAGCTGTGTTCAGCCCTTCCCTCCTTTGGGGCCCAGGAGAGGAGGGGCAGTGTGATGGGACAGGCCCCACCTTGCTGACCCCAAATCGCCGGGATTCTGTACACGCATGTTCCACACATACATGTCCCAGCAGACTCCCTCACAGCGGACTCAGGGTGGGTGTTTGGGAGATGCGGGATGATCAGGTGACCATTCACAGCTGGTGGAAACTGACCAGGCGTGTGGATTTCACCAGCCACAGCCAGGAAGCCAGTTCTCCGATAGCAAGCTGCCTGCTTGGGGAGGGTGGGCATTGAGACTGGGCAGGGTGGTCAAGGCTGCTCGGGAGCAGCCTCTGAGCCGATGCCTGAGGCGCTTTTATTTAGGAATTTGAAGACCTGTTCAACAAGCTGGACCAAGATGGGGACGGCAGAGTGAGTCTGGAGGAGTTCCAGCTTGGCCTGTTCAATCATGGGTCCCCTCGACCGCTGGAGCTGGCCCCGCTCGTCAAACTCAGCCAGTCCAGGTCTCATTACCAGGTGAGGTGGAGCGGTTAACTCCTGAAGCCCATGGTGACTGCCGTCACTCTTCTGAAGGCCTGAGCTCTCTGCCTGGTCCCCAGAGTGGGTGCTGGGAGGCGTTCGGAGTGACCTGACCTGACATCACTTATGCCTGGCTGTGCGCCACTGGTGAGCTGCTCGCCTTCTCTGTGCCTCACATTCCTCATCTGTACAGTGGACGCATCTCATAGGGGTCTTATGTGGATTCCCTGGGGTACACTGCGTTCCACCCAGAGCACCCGGTCCCTCCTCCCTGGAGGGCAGAGTCACTATTAGGGCCATGCCTTCCCTGGGATTAGCCCTCTAGGCTCTCCTGGAGCTGTGTTCTCCCCATCACGTTGTCCTGATTTTCATCCTTCACGAGGCCAGCCAGAGGCAAGCAGATTTTCTTTACACTGTGATGTTGGCCGGTACATTCGGTTCATCTCTGTCTCGGGGTGGTCAGGGCCTCTTCTCTCACCGCAGGGCACAGTTGTCCTGGGGAGTCTTGCTGCCGCCTCTTTGGCAACGTGGCTGATCCTGTAGTTTGTAGTTTGTGGGCGGCAGTGCAGAAACAGTGGTCTTGTTCTCTGCTGGGCTGGGTGCGGCCAAGAATCAGGTTTCTGCCCCTGAAGCCACTGAGACAGGGAAGGAGTCGGGGGTAGTGAGGACAGTTCCCGGCCACCTGAGGGCAGGGACGGCATAGTGCCCAGAGCCCGCGGAGGAGGGCTTCTCCCAGGGGCCTCGGCCCCTCGTTCCTTCCCAGGAAGCACTGACGTGGCAACGGGGCACGTCCTGTGCGTGTGGACACCAGTGTAGGGCCTTGCACAACTGACCGAGGTTCTCCTGCTCCATCAGGGGAGCCCCTGGGTCTGGTGGTCCGGGGACACCAGCCCCAGGGAGGAGGGCCCCGCTGCTCCTCCTCGTTCTGGCCCAGCAGCAATGCGCGTCCCAGGGCCCTCCCTGGGGCGGGAAGCACAGCTTCCTGGCCTCACCTCAGCCTCACCCGTCAGCTTTCCGGCTGAGGGATTTTTCTGCCCTTGTCTCCCGCCCTGAATCCTGAGGACAAGTGCCCTCCGCTCAGGCCGCCCCACCTCTTCTGAAGCCCATCTTGGGTTTCTCTGCACAGACTGGGTTTCCCTCGGCTGGCGCGTGCCTTCCCAGGCCCACCTTCTGGGAGGACAGGCGGGAAGCCATTGCTTGTTCAGAGAGACGTTCCCTCGGGTGCCCATGTGCATCCCCCCCGCACGGCCTCAGGCAGACGGCCCTGAGCCCTGTGCTCCTGTCGTCTCCATGGAGCCTGCAGTCCCCGCAGGTCCTCCTGGCACCCTGTTCCCTGCAGCAGGAGTCAGGGGGAGGCCGCGCTGGCCGAGCACAGGTGGTGAGGTCACAGAAGGTGCGTGAGGAGGCCGCGGTCCTCATGGCTCTGGTCCCTGCGTGCAGGTTCCGGAGGAGAGTGTCGGCCAGACCACCCCGTCGTCCCTCGTGTCTGTGTGCTCCGGCCCCCGCCTCTTCTGCAGCGTGGATGACGGCAGCGGGTTCGCCTTCCCGGAGCAGATCATCTCCTTGTGGGCCCAGGAGGGCGTTCACAATGGCAGGGAGGTCCTGCAGGTGGGGGCCGGTCATGCAGCTGTCTCAGCAGAGGCATTTGGGTGGGAGCATGGGTGGAGCCGTTGCCCATGAGGGCAGCTGGACCGAGAACCTCGCAGACACAGGCCCCATAGAGGGAAGGCCCGTCATCCTCACTCTTTATTTTTTGATATCAATATGTAGGACATCTTAACTTAAAAGCATAATAAGTAAACAGCAGAGAAAGCCCACAGCCTGAAACAAATCCCTTAGAGGGTAGGTTTCAGTATCTCAGACTCACCCCACAGTGCGTNTAGGCCGCAGGCAGGCGCGTGGGCCTTCCTGGCCTGCTCTTTTTCTTACTGTGGTAAAATACAGAAAGCACAGTGTTTCTATTTCTTCAACTTTACCTTCCGCAATCCCTGAGGGGAATGGCTGTGACTCTCAGAAATGGTTGGCCGTGGCTCATCGCACTATCGATCATGTTTCCACCAACAGAACCCGTGTTGTTCCTATGTCTGTTCGTGCTGTTTAGAGATATATTAAGGATTCTTTGTGTCTGACATGGCAAGAGCTCAACTCAAACTGGCTTGGGCAAGAGGAGGACATCAGGGGTCTTTGTGATCAGTTGGGGAAGAAGGAGGATGTTTAGGCTTGGGGGTCCCGGCTCTGGGAGTTGTCAGGACTCTGCTGGCTTCTTAGTCTTGACTTCAGGTCTAGCACCCTCGCGCTGCTCCCCAGGACCCCGTGGTCTATACAACACTTGATTTGGCAGAGACAAAGCCCTTCTCCAGCCTATCAGTCCCCAAAGTCCTCGGGTTGCATCTGCCCCCTTCTCTGTCTCTTTGTCCAAGAAGGGGGACTCTGTCCAGCCTGAGTCATGCCCACCTCCGAGGCAGGGACAGTGAGGGGAGGAGCTGTATGTTGACAGTGGGAGGGGGACCTCAGTGTTGACAGGGACCTGGGGAGAGGGACCCCAGAGGGTTGGGAGCAGGGGAGAGGCTCCAGTCAAGAGGTGGAGACTTTGCAGACAGAAAAGGAAGGTACTGGGACAGTGAAGTCTGGTCTGTGGGAGCCAGCAGGTGTCCGGAGACCCACTCATCCTGCCTGTCTGATGGGCCATGCTGTTTTCAGAGTCTTGACTTCAGTGTGGACGAGAAGGTGAACCTTTTGGAGCTGACCTGGGCCCTGGAGAATGAGCTCATGATGGTGGACGGTGCCACCCAGCAGGCAGCCTTGGCCTGCTACCGCCAGGAGCTGAGCTTCTGCCAGTAAGAGCCCCGCTGGGGGGTGGGTGTGGGGTGCGACTGGCCAGGCTGGCCTCCTTGCCCAGGGCGCGGGCAGCCAGCAGGACGAGAAAGGGTGCTTCCAGCACGGTCACAAACCATGGCATGACAGTTGGCCAAAGAATGTGTTCCATTTTAATTTGATTTGGGTCCAGTTGAGCTGGATACTCAGGCTATCCATCTACTGAGCCGGTTGGCATAGAGATTGTTATTGTGTTTTTATTGATACTCTGAAGCTATAGAAAAGGTTGGCAGTAATTCCAGTCTCCATCCTCACGACTGTGCATCTCTTTAGGTACCAACAGATGAGACCTCTGACGTCAGGCAACTCTGCAGATGTGCGCAGAGGAAGACTGCTTTGGGAGGATGAGGAAGGGAGACAAGCTTGGTGCTTCTCCAGTGGGAGAAACAGGCACCAGGATAGCTGTGGACTGAGCCTCGGGCAGGGCCTGGGGTGACAGGACAGAGACAGGCGTCACTTCTGGTCTGGGCAACTCCCTGGCACTTACTCAGGTGCCAGGCTACAGGTAGCAAGGCTGTGACCAGGCAGGATAATGGGTGGCCAGACTTCTCCCCTTCATGCGTCCAGTCCCAGGTTGGGTGCTGGGGATCCCTGGGTCCGAAGCCCAGCTGCAGGCAAGACGGAGCGAGGATAATTTCCCACCTCGTCTAAGGCCATCTGGAGGGGTGAACACTGCACGCACCAGGCTTGAACCTTTGGTTCAGAAACCTGCTAGAAGTCCCATTGCAAGCCAGTTGGCTTCTTGCTATATTTACTTGTGTAAAACAGACTCAATAACTGCAGAAACCATCCTGGTAGGAGGAGGGTCAGGCTTCCCAGGTGGCACTAGAGGTAAAGAACCCCCTTGCCAATGCTAGTGCAACCCGATTGCCAGTGTAAGAGGCATGAGAAATGCGAGTTCGATTCCTGTGTCAGGAAGATTCCCTGGAGGAGGGCATGACAGCCCACTCTATTATTCCTGCCTGGAGAATCCCATGGACAGATTAGCCTGGAGGGCTACAGTCCATAGGATTGCACAGAGTTGGACATGACTGCAGCGGCTTGGCACGCATGCACAGAAGGTGGGTCAGAGCCCAGTGCCAGCCACTGCTCTGCACTCTTAGGCCAGCTGAGTTTGTTCCTTCAGACCAGCTCCCTAGGCCCAGAGCAGTGTCCCCAGTCACCCCTCCCTCCTTTCCTCAGGGAGCAGGTGGAGCAGATGGCCAGGGAGCGAGATAAGGCGAGACAAGACCTGGAGAAAGCTGAGCAGAGGAACCTGGAGTTTGTGAAGGAGACGGACGACCTCCACTCCGCCCTGGAGCAGCTCGCGGAGGAGAAGGTCAGGTAGGTTCTGCCGGGGTCCTGGGCCAGGGCGGATGGTGGACAGATCAGAGGAAAGCATTTCTGACCTTTATGAAAGTCTTCCCCTGTCTCTCAATGTGCCACTTGCCTCCCTGTGGTTCTTTGCCATGGCTGCATCGGCCCCATCTCAGACAGGGTAGGCGCCGGGTCCCCCTGGACACACACGGGACTGTGCCTTGTGGGGCTCCGTGGGGCTCTCCGCTGGGGAGCAGCCTGACTGCACACGCCCTTCCTCTGCGGCCAGCGCTGCCCTCCCCAAGTGCCCACAAGTTGATGGCGACTTATTTCAGGCCACCAATCGGGGAGCTGAGAATGGATTTGCGTTGGTCTCAGCCTGGTTCACCTGATTCTTCCGACCACCCCGAAGGGACTTGGCGAAGTTCTTTCTGCATCAGAGAACTGGAGACTTGTTATCTCCATCCAAGAATCTGG